GCCTCCGATCCCAGTTGGACATCAACATGTCCGACCACGACCTAATAAGGACAATTAAAGTAAACATCAGAGACGGGATATCGAGGATAATATATCCGATGTGGTTAACTAACCTGGAACAGCTGAGGGAGGAATGCCACGAAGCCGAGAGGGTTTTGGCCAATCGCTGGTCGCGCACATCCGGGATGCAAGAGCACCAGAGACCACCGAGGGAGAAGCACCAGGTTCACGAGGCATACATATCACAGGAGCCAGACGAGGACTCTGAGTTTGTAGAGGCCATTTCCCGGGGCAGAGAAGGCGGAGCGCAAAGTACGTTGGTCTGCTACAATTGCTCTATGCCGGGACACACGTATTACACGTGCGACTCGGAGGTCCTTAATAAGTTCTGTTACCGATGCGGGCGACAGGGAGTACGATTTACTCGGTGTCCGAAATGTCAGGCGGGAAACGCGAGATGGAGCTTGACGCAACCGGAGGAGTCCCGCTCCCATCCCAAGACGACAAATTAACTGCCTCCGAGGATCTGAAATATATGTTAAAAGATAAATATAAGTCAGTGTGTAAGAAGATATTAATAAATAAAAATAAAAGCAAGGTAAATATAGGAACAAAATACGTGGCCAGACCGATTGAAGAAAGGGAACGCGACTATCAGCAGGCAAGGGAAAGGATATTTGGAGAACCAAGGGGAGATAGCCATTCCCGCAAGTCGGCGAGGATAATCCGAGCCCGGAGGCGTTACCAGCAACGAAAACAGGAACGAAGAGAGGTCTGCACAGCTATAATATCAGCAGCTACGACGGAAAACCGAGCGTTCGCCGAGGTATTGGTTGCAAATCATCCAATGCAGGGGCTACTTGACACGGGAGCATCGAAGAGCATCCTAGGAGACGGGTGTATGGACCTGGTAAAGCGGCTGGAACTAGAAGTATTGAAAGTGAGATCTACAGTACAGACAGCAGGCGGGGCAACACACCGGATAGAGGGTCGCATAGAGGTGGACGTTTGCTATAAACAGGAAACTCACCGCATATCATTGCTCTTATGTCCCTCACTGCGGCAAAAACTATACTTGGGAATAGACTTTTGGCGGAAATTTTCATTAGCTCCGGACGTCGTAGGGGTAGGTGAATTGTCGTCGATTGAGAATGAGTTCCATGTTACGAGCGAACCGGTAGAACCACACATCCTGTCTGAGGAAGAGAAAACACAGTTGGAGTTAGTGCAGGATAAGTTTCTAACTTACGAAAGACACGGCATGGGACTGACGGAATTGGAAACGCATTCCATACAACTGGAGGCAGGAACAGTCCCAGTAAAGGAAAGGTTCTATCCGGTGTCACCAAAAGTCCAGGAATTGCTCTATGCGGAAGTAGACGAAATGTTGCGATTAGGTGTAATCGAGACTAGTGAAAGCCCTTGGAACAATAGAGTTACTCTGGTCCAAAAACCTGGGAAAAACCGGTTATGCTTAGATGCGAGGAAACTCAATAAGGTAACGATCAAGGATGCTTACCCATTGCAGAATATAGAGTCGATTCTGAGCCGAGTGGATGAAACCATTTACATTAGCAGTGTGGATTTAAAGCATGCGTTCTGGCAAATTGAGCTGGACCAAAAAAGTAGGGAGTACACTGCATTCACCATCCCGGGAAGGCCGTTGTATCAATTTCGGAGGATGCCGTTTGGTTTATGTAACGCTGCTCAACGGCTATGTCGACTCATGGACCGGGTCATCCCTCAGAAGCTCAGGAGCAACGTCTTTGTGTACCTAGACGATCTGTTGATTATTTCGAAAACGTTCAAGGATCATATGCGGATACTTACCGAGGTTGCCAAGAGCTTACAGAACGCCAACCTCACGATCGGGCTACACAAATCCAAGTTCTGCTTCCGATTCCTTAAGTATCTGGGTTTTGTAATCGGAGAGGGCTCCTTGAGGACAGATCCGGGGAAGATTCAGGCAATAGCCAAGATCCCAGTGCCAAAGAATGTGAGACAGTTGAGGAGTTTCCTAGGAACAGCTGGATGGTACAGGCGGTTCATTCGAGGTTTTTCAGATGTATCGGCGCCTCTAACGGACTGTTTGAAGTCAAAGACGAAGTTCAAGTGGACACCTGCAGCAGAAGAGGGATTTAACAAACTAAAAACAGCACTCACCTCAGCTCCAGTGCTGATACATCCAGATTTTCAGAGCAGATTCTTCGTCCAATGCGACGCGAGCCATGTGGGTATTGGTGCGGTTCTCTTTCAAAAGGATGTGGATGGAAATGAGAGACCGATAGCGTTTTACTCTCAGAAGCTGCGAGGAGCTCAATTGAACTATACGGTGACAGAAAAAGAGTGCTTAGCCGCAGTGAAAGCTGTGAATAGATTTCGCCCATATATAGAACTCTTACCCTTCACAGTCATCACCGATCATTCCAGTCTTCAATGGCTCATGACGCTAAAAGACCTAAACGGACGATTGGCGCGGTGGTCGTTGGCGTTACAGGCATATGATTTCCAAATAGAGCACCGGAAGGGGAAAGATAACGTGGTGGCAGACATGTTGTCCCGTATCCCGGAGGTAGAAGCCATTGAGGTGTTCGATTTTGAAACCATTGAATTCGAAAGTCCCGAGTATCTGGAAAGAATCCAAACGGTGAAGGAAAATTCGGAGCAATTTCCAGATTTAGTGGTGGAAGACGGCCTCTTGCTCAAGCGAGTAGAATTTGTGACCGGGGACACACAGGAATTTCCGTGGAAGCTGTGGATTCCGGAAGCATTAACGAATACCTTAATCCAGCAAGCACACGACAGCGATACCGCGATGCACGGAGGCATAGGTCGCACGCTTAACAGGCTTAGGCAGTTCTACTACTGGCCCAAGATGGCAATCCAGGTGAAAAACTATGTAAAAGACTGCAACATCTGCAAGGAAACCAAACACACAACCCAGATGACTAGGCCGAAAATGGGCAAACAAACAATCACCTCACGACCCATGCAGCAGCTGTATATGGATTTCCTGGGAAAATATCCACGGTCGAAAAGGGGCAACTGCTACATATTGGTAGTGCTGGATCATCTGACGAAGTTTGTTTGGTTAAAAGCAATGCCAAAAGCGACAGCAGACGCAGTCGTCAGATATCTGGAGTCGGAAATATGGCATGAGTTTGGTGTTCCAGAGATTATACTCACCGACAACGGAGTCCAATTTGTAGCAAGCCGGTTTCAAAGTTTCCTGGAGAAGTATCAAATTCGTCATAAGAGGACCGGCAGGTATGCTCCACAGTCGAATGCCTCAGAGCGCGTGAACCAATCCGTACTTGCGGCTATTAGGATCCATGTAGGGGAAGACCACACACGTTGGGATGACAAGATAGTCGAGATTCAAGGTTCTCTGCGAAGTGCCGTCCACAATAGCACTGGTGTCTCCCCATACTTTGCCATGTTTGGCCAACACATGTTCCTGAGCGGGCAGGATTATAGGATAGCCCGAAAACTAGACGCCGTAAACGACGCCCAGATACAGAGTCTATCTCGAACGGATCGGCTTCAACTAATAAGAGAAAAGGTAACAGAACGCATTAATGAAACATATGAGAGATCAGCCAAACAATATAATAGAAGAGCTAAAGAAATCAAGTACCTACCTGGCCAAGAAATCTTTAAGCGAAACTTCATCCTCAGCGATTTCAAGAACAACATAAATGCCAAGTTTTGTCGCAAATACTCTAAGTGCCGCATAGTAAGACCCGTAGGGAATAACCTATATGAGCTGGAAACATTACAAGGGAAACGATTGGGAGTATTTCATGCGAAAGATTTGAAACAATAATTGCAGCATAGGTACATACACACGTGCAAATACGTACCCAATTAATGGCCCGGCTAACCCTTTCAAAGCGGCAGGACGAATATATCTCAGGGCGTGGGCGTGGCCTGCGTTGGGCTACTGGCAGCCTCAATTGCACTCCTGTTCCATTGACAAGTAAACGAAACCGTAGTGTGGTGTTATGGTCTGCCAAAAATAAAGAAAATAAACCTATACAAAATCAAAACATACCAAACGACCGCGTACCTGGGTTAGAGAGGAGCAACAGATGCCGATACTAGGGATGGCCTGGGAATGGAGAACTGGTTCCGGAGTCGTGCTGGTTCGTGGCGGAACTAGTAGAATAGTGGGCTTAAGCTAGGTTTAAATTTCGGAAAACTCTCTCTCGAAAATGCAATTGAGCCGACTTACAAGAAGGGCAACTAAAGGGCAAATGAGAACCATCTAGAAGCTGAGAAAGAGTAGTCGTGTCTCTGGGAAAAATTTCCAAACTTCCGGCGCCAAATTCGAAATCTGGGAGTCTGCGAGGAAAGGAAGAAAACTGAGAGAAAACGAGTGGAAATTTGAGTATCGCCGCCCACATCTGGGTGGTGCCAGGTTTTTTTATTTTAAGTTTAGTTTTAAAGTTAATAAAACCACGATTAATCAACTATAACCACCAACTACAAACTACAAACTACAAACTACGAACCTACTTCTACTAAATTAAAATACTAATGTAACCCTATATATATATATATTATTTATTCATTTATTTATACGTATAACTATTTATTCATGTGTGATGTAATCGTCCCTGTGGTACCCAGGTTAGGGAATTGTGAAGTTAAATGAATGTTATTTATATGAATTTTGTGAATTAAAAGGGAAAAGAAAATGAGCGAGTAGAGTGTTAAAATGGGGTGAGGTGACGCAAAACAGACCCAGTATCCAGTGTCGGGGAGTTGCTTAAAAGAGGCAGCAGCTCAAGGATGGGAGGGCATATTCCGCGGCCATCAACAGCAGGTCCGCAGTCATTGTTTCCTTTCATTTTTAAAGTGTCATCAAGTCTGAAGAAAATAAATTATTACTGTGTGCCGACAAATCCAACTATCGAGGTCATACTCACACTTGAGAAATCCGATTGCTAGCCGGAATCCGATGGTTGGATCACCAAAATAAGTCGAGACATAACAACCTTCATCCACAAAAATTTCTCTGAAAATGTCAGTGCAAGGAATTTGTTGTTGATGGAATGTGCAGGACACTATTAGATCTGAGCACTTCTCAGAAACGTCTAATATAAAATTTGGAAAGGTTTCATTTCTATGCCGAATATCCGTATATTGCGAGTAGTTAGTTTCCTTAAAGCAGGTCTTTTGGAGCATGGCGTATCCAAGGGATCCCCTGATTACGTTTATAAAATGAGTGGGAATGTATTTAATGGATTAAAACGAAACTTACGGCACCAAATGCTCTACTTTCGACTTTTTAGCCTGGTTCATATTGCAAACCGTTATTGCCGGAAACGGTATTTTATCAATGGGAGTCATTGTAGAACTAACTGAAAAGAGAAGTAATCAATGTTTTAGGATACCAAAAGTTAAGGAGTTTCAATATATACTTCCAATAATCACTGGCGTGCTGTCCCATTTATTATAAATTCCCACTGCCAAATTTACGGCCACAAAAACTACCAATGCGAAAATTATGATGAAGTAAAACTTCCACGGTAAGGAATTATCGCTAATAACGTATTTAAGCACTTCCATTGATGTATTTCGTAGGAACCTTTTCTGCCTTTTTTCTCCCAAGCTCAATATTTTTCTATTGATTTTTTTCCTCAAGCTCATTTTTACTGTTTTGAGTCCTTGAAAACTGTACAAATCTTTGAAGCAAATCGGTTGGTTTAGTCCTTTTATGTACGTAGTAAAAAACAGATTTTAGTTGGAAAATATTTGTGTGACACCTCCGATAACTGTGAAACTCCACGTTTCGTTAACGAAGCGTGCCGCTTTTAAAGTGTCATTATCTTGTAAAATCTAAATACTTTTATTTAAAATAACATAAAATAAAAAAATTCAATATTTTACTAATGATTTATTTATTGTCCTTCCGAAAATAATTTTGTGATACCTAGTCGCCAGAAGTCTAGTCACTAATGTTGTTCCTAAAGTTGCGTCATTAGTGAGAGACCATAATTACTCCCCCGGACCAACTAATTAAAATAAACTGCTGGGTGGTAATTAACTCCTTCTATAATTAAATTGCTTTGATAGCTTTGCTAATCACGTAAAAAGCTTATGTTTATTCAGGAACTTAATTAAAAATAAAACTAATTTCTATGGCGCTCTTTTTTGATTTTTTAGGTTTCATTCCATTTGGTTCCCTTAAAAAATAAATTTCGGACCATTTTTTCGTTTTAACGGTTTGTTTTGCGTGCGATTTCAACTGTCGCTGACTTTGGCCACACTGCGGAAAATTCATAAAAAAAATCCAAGGTGCATAAAACGACAAAGTAAAAAATTGTAAGTTCTCTAAGCATTAATTCTGCTTGGATTTCAGGTAATCGCAGCGTCGTTGAGCCAGCAGGTAATATAAAATAGCATTTAGCGGCGATAGACGCGTTTGATTCGATATCCCAGAACACACTTCCATACCTACAAATGTACTTCTATAGGAATCCTCACGCATACATATGTACATTCCTACATTGCATATTTCTCTGATGCGATGCTACGGCAATAATTTGAATGCAAGAGTGTTCACGCCTGCATTTCATGTGCTTTTTCACCAAAATTAGCAACAAATCACAAATAACTTGGCTTTTGGCCTGCGCAGGCTGTGTCTGATCATGTCCGCGTATGTACGCAGTTGTGTCTGTGGGTATGTGTGCATTTGGGGGTAAGAACGCGAACGCTCGAGACTGGAGGACACATTTCCTTGACTAACCCTAGTGTCAACTACTAACGCCTGGCTTTTCCTTTCAGGTCATCGTCCAGACTTGTCAGTGATTCGAAAACCGAAAAGCCCTTTGCAATCGTCAAAGCAAAATGAGTGCCGTCGCCAGCAGCGATCCAGCCATTAGTGGCATGGCCCTTGGCCGGAGCCAGACCATCTGCCGCTACTACGTGCGCGGAATCTGTCGCTTCGGGGAGCTCTGCCGCTTCTCCCACGACCTAAGTCGCGGTCGCCCGGAATGCGAGCAGCAGGTGGCCACCGAGGTGCTGCCGAAACCCAGTACAAGCAGCAGCAGCCACATCGCCAGCACCTCCACTCAGCAGAGGAACTGGGCCAACGCGCCGGTGTTTGTGCCCAGCCAGAAACGAAATCCTGCCAGGGAACAGAGCGAGGTGGAGGCCACCATGGGCTCAGAGGCGCAGACGGAGGCGGAAGCTGGAGCTGGAGCGGGCTTCGTCGTCTTAACGCCAGCCGTCTTCGTGCCAGGCGTCTCTTGGGCCGAAGTGGTGGGCGGTCCCTCATCTCTGAACAACAAAGGGGAATATGGCCCCATAAATCCAGCCTCGCTGGAGGAGGTCTGCCCGTACGAGAGCCCTTGCGCCTGGGGCGAACTCTGCCCCTACCGCATCCACATGGAGCTGTGCGAAATGTGCGACCAGTATTGCCTGCACCCGACGGACCAAACACAGCGCAAGAAGCACAATCGCGAGTGCCTGCAGCAGCACGAGCAGGCCATGGAGCTATCCTTCGCCATTGCCAGATCCAAGGACAAGACGTGCGGCATCTGCTTCGACACGATCATGGAGAAGGCGGGCAGGGAAAAGCGATTCGGCATCCTCCCTAACTGCAACCACATTTTCTGCTTGGAGTGCATTCGCACATGGCGCCAGGCCAAGCAGTTTGAGCATAAAATAACGCGGTAAGTGAGATTCCCACAGCATAAAAAATTTGTTAGATCAACGTTCTTGGCAATCCCAAACCGAATTACACTTTCTTTTAATTTCACTATACCTACCCTATTTTGAAACCAAACCAATTATCTCATTCACAATATTCATACAATAATGCACATCATAAAATAAAAGCATGAACACAAATGTTTTTATAGTAAGTACTCGGCGCAAGAAAATTAAAATATGGCGTTGTTCTTTTATTGACTTAACAAAGAAAATGTATGGCTTTAACGTAACTATTTGACACCAGAATCTAACATTATGATTAAAGATAGTTTAGGATTCGAGTTTGCCTTTAATTTGACCATTATTTGTTTTACATCTGCAGTGCTTGTCCCGAATGTCGCGTGTGCTCAGACTTTGTCTGCCCCAGTGCATTTTGGGTGGAGACCAAGGAAGAGAAGGACAAATTGCTCAATGATTACCGCGCCGCTTTGGGAGCAAAGGACTGCAAATACTTCAAAAAAGGAGAAGGGAAGTGTCCCTTTGGTAACAAGTGCTTCTACAAGCACGCCCTGCCCAATGGAGATATCGTCGATGTGGGATTGCCAAAGCGCACTCGAAAGTTACAAAGCCAGAATGAAATAATCGACTTGCTGGATGTGAGTACCAAATCCACTAATTTTAAAACAATTTATTAGTTTCTTTCAAACCATATACAAAACCAAATTGGTGTTTCTACCAAGATTGTTCATTTAGGTAGTTAAGTCCGAAATATTTGTTCTTTGTCTTGGACTGTCATAATAAATCATTAAACTAGGATGTCACTACAAGTTATATTCTATATTTTATAGATTTATCTATGGGACTATGTAGATCGTCGTGATTATCATTGGCTGGAGATATTTTCAAGTGATTTGAGCGAAAGTTCCGATTTCTCGGATGAAGACTAAGCTTCTGGAGCAGGCGGAATCAAACAGCCCAAAAGCATACAAATTTGGATATACATACAGTCCCAGAAAAACGTAATCAATATTCAAACGATATATAAATGATACTGAACCAAATATCGAATGCGAAATTAAACAAAAAAATGTATTTGGGTACCAAATTTAGGTTACATAATATTTATTCTCCACTTAATGCAACGAAATTTACAGCAACTTTTCCGTACTTGTATTAAATTAAATTATATTTAATACCATAACAAGTGGTTCAACTTAAACCTAATGGAAGATTGATATATCATTAAATATGGATACACAAGTTTAGAGATAAACAAGCAGTAAACCGTACATTTTGAAAATAGGTGATATAAAATGTGTAAACTATGCCTTTCAGACTGAATTGTAAAGATAAAAATACATACATTCTTAAATCGGTTTTCTACTCATTTTTGAAGTTCAACAACTACAACTAAGTGAAACGCACATAGCAAACCACATATGCACGTCTATCAGGATAATTGCAAACAATTAATCTCAAATGAGTCAGTGTATCATAACCGAGCAGAAACTATTCCCTTTCGTCGATAAATAAAATTTTTGTTATTGTTATGAGCCTTTGTGTTAGAGTATTACTGTTGCATACCTATAATTCAGTATATTTGTAATCGTTGGCCACAAGCGTACTACCCAAACCACTACAAATATTATATGTACGACATCTATATTGTATATTGATTTTAAGTTTATACTTTCGAAATGTACCTCTTTAAAATGTTTTGTTTTTACTGATACGAATGTAATGTGTTGTCCATTAGAAAAACAACAATTAAATAAACTAAGGGAATTTACATATAAACCCAACATGTTCAAAATCTAAAACCTAAAATCAATGTAACAATTACTTGAAAAATCTCAATAATTGCATAAAATCGGGTTCAACGATTCAAACCCATTTGTATGTGATTCATAGTTGACAAACAAAAAATATCTTATGAATAATTGGTAATAAGTACATAGTTTTAAAAACATGAAAATGGTCGTTAAAATATGATATAGATTGAACCATTCAGTTCAACAAATACATGCTATCGTAAAAGCTGCATCGCAATGCCTTTGTTCTTTTCTATTAATGTCATTTACCACCACAAGGAAACACTATTAAGGACCCTAGTAGGAAATAGCTGGTGAAAAGGTTAGCCTCGTCGCATAATAATGAGAAAACGTAATTTTAGTTATATGTAATAATTATAATTTTCTGTGTTATGAGTTTGTCCAATAAGATTTCCAAAATAGCTGAACCTATCCAGAAGTGATATTTTTCTTTAATTTTTGAACTGGATTGCAAAATAAATTATTAAACGGAATAAACTCGTACATAAAAACACTTTTTGAAGTTACTAACTAATAATTGTAAGAAAATATTCGGGGACCGTTCCAAATTATAAATATCTTTTAAAACGGATTTATAACACAAGCCTTGAATCGAATACTAATTGTGCCATTTCCCATTTTTAAAATTGTTCAAAACAAAAAATAACCAATCTGGCTGAAGTTGTACCTAGATTAGATTAAAAATAAAATTTGTAACATTATGTTGATAATAAAACGCAGGAATGAAATAAATAAAAAAAACCTGACCTGGAGCAAATAGATACATAAAATGATTTTAAACTGAAAAGTAAGCTGAACTCAGACTTCCCTCAAGAATATAATGGTGCGTTCCCATCACATTATTTAAGGGGGGGTATGGTGTTTAATTTGTTTTTTTCTATTTTTTTTAAAATTTTTTTTATTAATGTACAACACTTTAAGAATGTTGTGTTAAAATTTCATGTCAATCGGATGAAAATTACAAAAAATATGACCATTTGAACGAGGGGCGGTCCCAGCCGTCCCCTATACCTATTCAAAACTTTAAATCGTTCTCATGAAAAGTATGTTTTTTTAATTCGGTGAACATTGTCCATCGAA